CTCTGACGTCACGGCTCGGGGGGAGCGGTGGGCAGCGCTCTGGGGGCAGGCTTGCAGCGGGAGGAGGGGGAGGAGGAGGAGGAGGGTTCCCCGGGTGGGGGAATCCGGAGCAGAAGCTGCGGTCTCCGCCCGTCCGCGGGCCGGGGGGCGAGCGGGAGGGCAGAGGGATGTGAGGAGATGGGTGTTCAGGGCGCAGGAACGGGCTGCCCAGGGAGGTGGTGGAGTCACCATCCCTGGGGGGTGTTTAAAGGAGGAGGTGCTGAGGGACACGGGTGATGGTGGGCATGGCAGTGCTGGGTTAAGGGTTGGACTCGATGATCGCAAAGGTCTGTTCCAATCAGGAAGATAACCGTGGGGCTGTGTGGGAGGATGTGCAGAAGGACGTGGTTTGCAAGAGGACAGAGGAAACCCTGCCAGGCCAGGGTTTCTGGTGTGGGAGCAGCACTGCTGACCAGTGCTTTCACTTTCCCTTGGGGTTTTTTAAATTGGTGTGGGCTCCCTGCCCCAGCTGAGAGCGGGGGGTGTTGCAGCAGCAGGGCACGAACAAGGCAAAGGCCAGGCCGGGGCTCGAGGCTGGCATAGCAGCCCACACCGTGACCTGGAGCTGCAGCTGGATCCACCCCATCACCAGCTGGGTAGAGCTGGAGGATGAGCAACTGAGCATGTGACCACAGACTAGGAGAGCTCAGCCACTGCCAGGTGCTCTGCAGATTGCCTGAAAACTGGGGGGTCTGTCATGGCTCCAGTTTCAGCCAGCAGTAACCCCCAGAATCTGCATTTATGTCCAGGAAAAAAAGTTCACTTTCTCCAGATGACAAGACTCCCAGCCTCTCTCAGCTATCACTCAGCAGCTTTCAGGAGGGCAGAGCACCATTCTGCAGTCTTGCCATTGCAGAGAAAGCCTGAAGGGCCCTCTGGTAGCAATACCCCTGGGTCCGTCTCTGATACTGAAAATAGTGAAGTTCAAACTTGGTCTCTCAAAGCTGGAAGTGCTGAGCTGAAAGCAATCTTCCTTGCTAGGCAGAAATAATTTGTAGCACATACGTCATTGCAGTTCTCACCATTCCCAGATAGGTGTTGAAAGAAATCAATCCACACATGGGTTACTGTGGCAGTATCCATTGAAGGAAACGGGGCACAATACCTGGGATTGGTGTAAATCAAAGTGCACTTTTTTGCTGTTTGTAACTACTGGGCATATTTCTTAAAGTGAATTTTAGCATTCCCAGGAAATACAAGTTTAGAGAAGAGGCAAACTCCTGAAAATGTTTCTCTAGTTATCCTATTTCTCAGTTTGCTTATGCTGTTGGAGGCAGCTGCCCTGTGAAGGCACAGGAAGGCTGCAATATGCTTTTGTTCAGGTTTAACAGCAAGAAGATGTAATAACTTCCTGCAGTACTGCCTGTATTTTCACCTAGGTTGCTTCATCAGGTCACTGTATAAATATTTAATGCTATGGAAGAGCAAATGTATCCTTGCGAGACTCACAAGACCTGCAAAATGAGAGTACAGGAGGTGGAAGAACAGTCATGCATAGCAACCCTTGGAAACAAAGATAGAGGTGAAGATGAATACAGGCTAATTATAAATATCCATTTCTGATCTATATACAGCCTAGTAACATGCACAGTGAAATTTATTACAGGAAATAATTTATGCTTGCACAGTGGAAAAATGATATATATTTAAAAGCCTTTGCATCTAATTATCAGGCAAGTTTCTAAACAAGGCTCAAACCTGACCAGTTTTTATACTTGAAATCTCTCTTTGATATGCTTGAACCAAGTCAAAAACAGTTACCAGAGATTTTAAGAAAACAGTTATTTCTCTCTTGCCATGTCATGTTAATCTCCTAATTGTAAAACTTACATATGCCTTTCTAAAGTACATATTTGGATAGGTAATTCTAAATGCACTTAATCGGCCTTCTTCAGTTAGTTACTATTATATTGCCATATAATAGTTGTAGTGTTCTTAAGAATTAGTCATAGATTAAAATAACAGGCACAGCACTGATAAATATTACATTTGCAGATGTCTTGAAAAACAGAGCCTGACTTCACTAAAGTCTTACAAGATCACTTGATGCAAAAAGAATTTGCATTACCTATTTTACAAACATGTTGGACCAAAACATAAAGGTACCTCAAATGTAACAGCTGTTCTCACTATATGAATGGAAATTAGGTGATCTTCCTTAAGGTATTACATGTACACAGTATATAAACTCCTAAGGTCCACCTAGTCTTCTGAGACTGAGTTTCATTGTGCTAGCATCATTCCCCCTGCTGAAGTTGTGTCATCGTGTTTGCAGTAT